CTTTACACTACAGTTTTTAAACTGCAACATTAACACCCCTCCTTCAGAGTGCAGGCACTGTACTTCCCATCTCCAGGACTCAAGTCCGGCCTGCCGGTTTCCCTGAACCCCTTCATAAATGTTACTTTGCTCACACTCCAACAGCACGTCAAGTATTAAAAACCATTTGTCTCCATTCACTCCTATCAAACACGCTCACGCATGCCTGCTGGAAGTCCAAGCCCCTCGCACACAAAACCTCCTTTACCCCCTCCCTCCAACCTTTCCTAGGCCGACCCCTACCCCGCCTTCCTTCCACTACAGACTGATACACTCTTGAAGTTATTCTGTTTCGCTCCAGTCTCTACACATGTCCGAACCACCTCAACAACCCTTCCTCAGCCCTCTGGACAACAGTTTTGGTAATCCCGCACCTCCTCCTAACTTCCAAACTACGAATTCTCTGCATTATATTCACACCACACATTGCTCTCAGACATGACATCTCCACTGCCTCCAGCCTTCTCCTCGCTGCAACATTCATCACCCATGCTTCACACCCATATAAGAGCGTTGGTAAAACTATACTCTCATACATTCCCCTCTTTGCCTCCAAGGACAAAGTTCTTTGTCTCCACAGACTCCTAAGTGCACCACTCACCCTTTTCCCCTCATCAATTCTATGATTCACCTCATCTTTCATAGACCCATCTGCTGACACGTCCACTCCCAAATATCTGAATACATTCACCTCCTCCATACTCTCTCCCTCCAATCTGATATCCAATCTTTCATCACCTAATCTTTTTGTTATCCTCATAACCTTACTCTTTCCTGTATTCACTTTCAATTTTCTTCTTTTGCACACCCTATCCAAATTCATCCACCAATCTCTGCAACTTCTCTTCAGAATCTCCCAAGAGCACAGTGTCATCAGCAAAGAGCAACTGTGACAACTCCCACTTTATGTGTGATTCTTTATCTTTTAACTCCACGCCTCTTGCCAAGACCCTCGCATTTACTTCTCTTACAACCCCATCTATAAATATATTAAACAACCACGGTGACATCACACATCCTTGTCTAAGGCCTACTTTTACTGGGAAATAATTTCCCTCTTTCCTACATACTCTAACTTGAGCCTCACTATCCTCATAAAAACTCTTCACTGCTTTCAGTAACCTACCTCCTGCAACATCTGCCACATTGCCCCCCTATCCACCCTGTCATACGCCTTTTCGAAATCCATAAATGCCACAAAGACCTCTTTAGCCTTATCTAAATACTGTTCACTTATATGTTTCACTGTAAACACCTGGTCCACACACCCCCCTACCTTTCCTAAAGCCTCCTTGTTCATCTGCTATCCTATTCTCCGTCTTACTCTTAATTCTTTCAATAATAACTCTACCATACACTTTGCCAGGTATACTCAACAGACTTATCCCCCTATAATTTTTGCACTCTCTTTTATCCCCTTTGCCTTTATACAAAGGAACTATGCATGCTCTCTGCCAATCCCTAGGTACCTTACCCTCTTCCATACATTTATTAAATAATTGCACCAACCACTCCAAAACTATATCCCCACCGCTTTTAACATTTCTATCTTTATCCCATCAATCCCGGCTGCCTTACCCCCTTTCATTTTACCTACTGCCTCACGAACTTCCCCCACACTCACAACTGGCTCTTCCTCACTCCTACAAGACGTGTTCCTCCTTGCCCTATACACGAAATCACAGCTTCCCTATCTTCATCAACATTTAACAATTCCTCAAAATATTCCCTCCATCTTCCCAATACCTCTAACTCTCCATTTAATAACTCTCCTCTCCTATTTTTAACTGACAAATCCATTTGTTCTCTAGGCTTTCTTAACTTGTTAATCTCACTCCAAAACTTTTTCTTATTTTCAACAAAATTTGTTGATAACATCTCACCCACTCTCTCATTTGCTCTCTTTTTACATTGCTTCACCTCTCTCTCTTTTCTCCATATACTCTTCCCTCCTTGCATCACTTCTACTTTGTAAAAACTTCTCATATGCTAACTTTTTCTCCCTTACTACTCTCTTTACATCATCATTCCACCAATCGCTCCTCTTCCCTCCTGCACCCACTTTCCTGTAACCACAAACTTCTGCTGAACACTCTAACACTACATTTTTAAACCTACCCCATACCTCTTCGACCCCATTGCCTATGCTCTCATTAGCCCATCTATCCTCCAATAGCTGTTTATATCTTACCCTAACTGCCTCCTCTTTTAGTTTATAAACCTTCACCTCTCTCTTCCCTGATGCTTCTATTCTCCTTGTATCCCATCTACCTTTTACTCTCAGTGTAGCTACAACTAGAAAGTGATCTGATATATCTGTGGCCCCTCTATAAACATGTACATCCTGAAGTCTACTCAACAGTCTTTTATCTACCAATACATAATCCAACAAACTACTGTCATTTCGCCCTACATCATATCGTGTATACTTATTTATCCTCTTTTTCTTAAAATATGTATTACCTATAACTAAACCCCTTTCTATACAAAGTTCAATCAAAGGGCTCCCATTATCATTTACACCTGGTACCCCAAACTTACCTACCACACCCTCTCTAAAAGTTTCTGCTACTTTAGCATTCAGGTCCCCTACCACAATTACTCTCTCACTTGGTTCAAAGGCTCCTATACATTCACTTAACATCTCCCAAAATCTCTCTCTCCTCTGCATTCCTCTCTTCTCCAGGTGCATACAAGCTTATTATGACCCACTTCTCACATCCAACCTTTACTTTAATCCACATAATTCTTGAATTTACACATTCATATTCTCTTTTCTCCTTCCATAACTGATCATTTAACATTACTGCTACCCCTTCCTTTGCTCTAACTCTCTCAGATACTCCAGATTTAATCCCATTTATTTCCCCCCACCGAAACTCCCCTACCCCCTTCAGCTTTGTTTCGCTTAGGGCCAGGACATCCAACTTCTTTTCATTCCTAACATCAGCAATCATCTGTTTCTTGTCATCCGCACTACATCCACGCACATTTAAGCATCCCAGTTTTATAAAGTTTTTCTTCTTCTCTTTTTTAGTAAATGTCTACAGGAGAAGGGGTTACTAGCCCATTGCTCCCGGCATTTTAGTCGCCTCATACGACACGCATGGCTTACGGAGGAAAGATTCTTTTCCACTTCCCCATGGACAATAGAAGAAATAAAGAGGAACAAGAGCTATTTAGAAAAAGGAGAAAAACCTAGATGTATGTATATATATATGCATGTGCGTGTCTGTGAAGTGTGACCAAAGTGTAAGTAGGAGTAGCAAGATATCCCTGTTATCTAGCATGTTTATGAGACAGAATTTATATGTTACATAGCAAGTTTATTATATACAATTTTGAAAAAAAAAAAAAAATCATAGATGGATTAAGCAAAATGGTCTATATTAAAGTTTTATACATAATTCGCCTCAGAGTGATTATTATTGTGTTATTATCATTATTAATATGGCATCTTCAAGACCAATAACACACTCTTAATGATTTTAATGTTACTTACACACCAGCACAGATGCAACATGTGGAGTTTAAAGTGGTTAAGTTTATATTTTATTCATTCTAGAGTGTACGTCATGTTTTTATGTTATTTATATTGTTTATTGTGTCATATTAGATGAATTGTGATAGATAAATAAGCTGTAAAGTGATATTGGCGTCATATTGAAGATGTGACAACTCTGCTTCGTGTGTAAAACCTGTTGGTTCATGAGCGGCTCTGAGACAGAGAGACAAGCTGACAGAAAAGACAGACACACAGGTAAAGAGAAAGACAAAAGACAGACAGAGACAGACAGATTTATGTGCAACAGTGAAAACAAATACACCTACCATCCGACTTACGACCTGCTCGACTTATGACCACTCGACTTACGACCGTGTTTTTTATGCCAAATTTCTGGGAAATCAACTATTTGTGTTGTACACAGTGTTTATCCTAAACCTTACAGTATAAAATACAGTACTAACAGCATAAAAAGTAAAGTAAAACATGAAATACCTAATAAAACAATAAAATAAAGTCATTACAAAAATATTTTGTTGATATCCAGTAGTAAAGTTCGACTTATGACCATTTCGACTTACAACCGGTTTCTCGGAACCGAACTCGGTCGTAAGTCAGATGGTAGGTGTAGAGTTCGAGAGTAAGAGCCTTTCTTGCCACAATCTCCAGTACAAAATTCAGACTTGCTCTTAGGGGCCATGGTGAAATTTACTGTCCAGTTAGTACAGTTAATACAGTACGTATGATGCTGCTGATAGGGCAGGGTAACTCAAACTGATGCTGCCTGCATGGTTTGTTGCCGCCACGAGTATCGTCAAATATTATACAGCGGCATGTATCAGCCGGCCCAGCCCAGCTGCCAGATGTACAGTCATAAGTCGAGTGGACGTATGTCGAGCTGGTCGTAAGTCGGATGGTAGGTGTACTTGTTTACCGATGCCTTGGACTCATGACGGGCTGTCTGACCAGCATGCATGCCTAAATAATGTATATTAGAATTGATTTCCTTTATCCTGTTCATTACAATATACAGTACACAACTGTATAAACATTAAAAAATATACCAGAAATGCTACAAATAATGTATTAAAACATTAAAACACTAGATGGTTGACACAAATTCACTGGAACCCTCCAGCTGGAGCGCCCAAGAAAGAAGACAGAAGAAAGATGATGAACGACACCCCCCACCGGGGGCCACAGCTGGGTCACCACATGGAGAAGACCTGGGCCGGAAGTACCGGCGAACCTCTAATGAATGAATGAACAAATTCACTACCATTATAATGTGCTCCTCACTTAGCCATGAATTCGTTTACTGACTTGGTCTTAGGAACGGAACTCCGTCATTAAGTGAGGAGAGGCTGTATTCATATTCGGCTTATGGTACTTTCAATTTCTGATGGGCTCACCGGAACATAACCCCATTGTAAGTCAAGAAGCACTATATACAAACCATCGGGTGATGTCTGAATTCCTCTCTTCTGTGACTGTGATTTCTCCGCTGCTCGTAGCACCAAATCTGAAGGGGTGTCTGTGCCTGTCGTAGAATTTGATTTCTTTTCATTATTCGAAAACCCATCATCTGAAAATGGCGAGAAGACTTTCTTTCGGTTATCAGGTAGTTCAAACAACAATCTACTGCACAACAATATAATGTTTCAAACACAGAGTTTCGCTAATGCAGCGGTTTTCAATTATTCAGACTTCCTACAATAAACTTATTCACCACTCGCTATAAGCTAAGGATAAATATATTTTAAGGTATATGCATTTTTTAGGCCTAGCTCTATTGCTCAATACGTGTATATGTGTTATCGGGCTTTTATATGCGTTTGAAAGTGAAAAAATGGCTGTGTTTCACAATAAGCAGTAGCCCAGAACCCTAACCTGCTGTATAAGTGGGGCCCTACAGTAGCGTGGAATCTAACCTGCTGTATAAGTGGGGCCCTACAGTAGTGTGGAATCTAACCTGCTGTATAAGTGGGGCCCTACAGCAGCCTGGAATCTAACCTGCTGTATAAGTGGGCCCCTACAGCAGCCTGGAATCTAACCTGCTGTATAAGTGGGGCCCTACAGCAGCCTGGAATCTAACCTGCTGTATAAGTGGGGCCCTCCTGTACAACAGCAGCCCAGAGCTTAACCTGCTATATCAGCAGGATCCTCCTATACAACAGCAGCCCAGAACTTAACCTGCTGTACAAGCAGGACCCTAATGTACAGCAGTAGCCTGAAACTACAGGTGAGCCCTGCTGTACAAGCAGGGCTCTCCTGTAGTGTTATCCATCTTGAATGTCTGCCAGGAGTCAGTTGACAAATAAGAAGAAAATATTTTTCTATCATCTTTGTATTCATCAGAGATGGGTCCATTGTTTAGCACGAAGTGCTGATGTAACCCCTGTTTTATGGGTGCATTTTACAAAAAATAATCAAAATATCATTAATGAGCAGGATGTAACATGTCTTTTTGCTATTGAAGGAGATGTGACTGCTCCTAGGGCATCAACAAGTTGATGGAACCATCAACTAGTCATCAATTTGTTGGGTTCAACCCAAGAATAGCTGATGGCTTCGGGGACGACACATGTGGTTTGCCGGCTACTTCTCTTGGTATTATGATATTTTTTCATATTTTGTTATGTATTTATACAATGGAGATATACACAAATAACCCGCACATAAAAGAGAGAAGCTTACGACGACGTTCCTGGTGTCTACTCTATTTCTTGCTCCTCCTGTCCTCTTCAATACTTCGGAGAAACTGGTTGATCTCTTTCTGACAGACTTAAGGAGCACAAAAATAGTGTTAGGCTTGCCGACACTAACAATGCTTTTTTCTGTCACGTCAGAGATCATAGCCATCCTATTGATTGGTCTTCTGCTAAAACTGTCTTCCCTACTTCCAACTCGAACAGTCGCCGTCTAGTTGAGTCCTCTCTAATAGACAACTTTCCTTGTATGAATCTTAGCCCTGGCTTCGTCTCTGTAGATGCCTTCCTCTCCCACTACATTGTAAAATGCTCCAAACTTCAGAACACCCGTGACTTAACCCGACTCCTCATTTTTTCTTTTTCTTTTTCTTCTTCTCCCTCTTCCCCTTTCCTCTTTCCTTTTCTCCTCTGGGCTGTCTTTCTCTCTTCTGTCTCGTGTTTCTGTTCCTACTTCATTTATTTCCCACTTCCCCTTTCACGCACCTCTGTGCGCTTGCTCTCCCTCAGTGGGCATCTAGCTCTCTTGCAGTGCTCCCCTTTCTTTGTATTCGACTGGCTCGTCCTCCTTATTTCCCACTTCTACCACTACCTCTTCTACTACTACAACTACTGATGAAATTAAGACACATGTGTGGCGTCTGGTTGTCTTTGTTGTGGACGTTTGGCGAAACGTCTACGATAGGGATGCCCGGGTGTTGCGCATGTGTCTTAATTTCATCTTGTCGGTATTATATACCATTCTTGTACTACTACTACTACTACTACCACCACCACCTCTTCCTGCCAATATATAGCCGTCCTGCTCCACTTCTGGTTAGGGTGACTTTGTCAATGGTCCAAGTCGGACCAAAACGTCGTCGTAAGCTTCTCTCTTTTATGTGCGGGTTATTTGTGTATCGCTCCAGTCATGGTATTGTGCCTTTTTTTTTTGTTATTAATGGAGATATAACAACACTCTGCCTTTGCCAAACAATAAACCTATCTCTGGTGAAAGAGAAAACAATTTACGTATAAAAATTACCATTTATATATAAAAATTACTAAGTTGTTGTACAAGGAAAGGATGGTTATCAACCTGGAGTACGATCATTAACCGTTAAACTGTCCAAATGTAGATCTACGTTTATGTGTGTGGCACTCCAAACTTTCTATTTTACATGCTTCATGTAAAAAAAAACATTGATCAACATTCGGAGCACTACGGACACGAACAAAGATCTGTTTAAGGGTTAAACGAACAGGAGGGGGTCGTGTAACGTGGAAAAAAGTCCACTTTTCGAGGGGTTATTACTCAAAATTGTTATATAAGAATATTAGGAAGAAGGAGTACTGCAGAAGCCAACTGGCCTATGCTAGGCAGGTGCAAGTCAGCCACTGGCCCATGCTAGGTAGGTCAAAGTCACCCAGTGGCCCAAGCTAGTCAGGTCCAAGTCACATACACTTAAGAAGAAGCACCACATAAGCCTACTGGCCCAAGCCAATCAGGTCCGACTTTTACCCACAAGAGTTAACAGCATCATTATTATGCTCAAAAATGATAGAACTACAGTATGTGGGTCACATAGTCACCGCAATGTCAGAGGAGCGCCACTTACTTTTACCAGTGGGATTTGCTTGAGAGCCAGGTAATGCCGGAAAATCTTCACTGCTCATAGTGAACTCTGAGGTCTCTGGTGTAGGCTGCTTTACCATGCCAACTGTGGAATACATAGCACATCAACAACTTCCCATTAGTCATAACCCTATACCAATATTTTGGATCGGAATATTGTACTGCTGATGGTATTGACGAGAAGATATGCAGTGCGAAGCAAGCTCTTATTGAGGCCATATTTAATTTTGTGTAGAGCTTTATCAAGTCTTGTTTCACTATGTAAAGCTTCGTCAAGTCTTGTTTCACTGTGTAAAGCTTTGTCAAGTCTTGTTTCACTGTGTAAAGCTTCGTCAAGTCTTGTTTCACTGTGTAAAGCTTTGTCAAGTCTTGTTTCACTATGTAAAGCTTTGTCAAGTCTTGTTTCACCATGTAAAGCTTTGTCAAGTCTTGTTTTACTATGTAAAGCTTTATCAAGTCTTGTTTTACTATGTAAAGCTTTATCAAGTCTTGTTTTACTATGTAAAGCTTTGTCAAGTCTTGTTTCACTATGTAAAGCTTTATCAAGTCTTGTTTTACTATGCAAAGCTTTGTCAAGTCTTGTTTTACTATGTAAAGCTTTATCAAGTCTTGTTTCACTATGTAAAGCTTTATCAAGTCTTGTTTTACTATGTAAAGCTTTATCAAGTCTTGTTTTACTATGTAAAGCTTTATCAAGTCTTGTTTTACTATGTAAAGCTTTATCAAGTCTTGTTTTACTATGTAAAGCTTTATCAAGTCTTGTTTTACTATGTAAAGCTTTGTCAAGTCTTGTTTTACTATGTAAAGCTTTATCAAGTCTTTTTTTACTATGTAAAGCTTTATCAAGTCTTGTTTTACTATGTAAAGCTTTATCAAGTCTTGTTTTACTATGTAAAGCTTTATCAAGTCTTGTTTTACTATGTAAAGCTTTATCAAGTCTTGTTTTACTATGTAAAGCTTTGTCAAGTCTTGTTTTACTATGTAAAGCTTTATCAAGTCTTTTTTTACTATGTAAAGCTTTATCAAGTCTTGTTTTACTATGTAAAGCTTTATCAAGTCTTGTTTTACTATGTAAAGCTTTGTCAAGTCTTGTTTTACTATGTAAAGCTTTATCAAGTCTTTTTTTACTATGTAAAGCTTTATCAAGTCTTGTTTTACAATGTAAAGCTTTGTCAAGTCTTGTTTTACAATGTAAAGCTTTGTCAAGTCTTGTTTCACTATGTAAAGCTTTATCAAGTCTTGTTTTACAATGTAAAGCTTTGTCAAGTCTTGTTTTACAATGTAAAGCTTTGTCAAGTCTTGTTTCACTATGTAAAGCTTTATCAAGTCTTTTTTTACTATGTAAAGCTTTGTCAAGTCTTGTTTCACTATGTAAAGCTTTACCAAGTCTTGTTTCACTATGTAAAGCTTTATCAAGTCTTTTTTTACTATGTAAAGCTTTGTCAAGTCTTGTTTCACTATGTAAAGCTTTGTCAAGTCTTGTTTCACTATGTAAAGCTTTACCAAGTCTTGTTTCACTATGTAAAGCTTTGTCAAGTCTTGTTTTACAATGTAAAGCTTTGTCAAGTCTTGTTTCACTATGTAAAGCTTTGTCAAGTCTTGTTTTACTATGTAAAGCTTCATCAAGTCTTGTTTCACTATGTAAAGCTTTGTCAAGTCTTGTTTTACTATGTAAAGCTTTATCAAGTCTTGTTTCACTATGTAAAGCTTTATCAAGTCTTTTTTTACTATGTAAAGCTTTATCAAGTCTTGTTTTACAATGTAAAGCTTTGTCAAGTCTTGTTTTACAATGTAAAGCTTCGTCAAGTCTTGTTTCACTATGTAAAGCTTTACCAAGTCTTGTTTCACTATGTAAAGCTTTACCAAGTCTTGTTTCACTATGTAAAGCTTTGTCAAGTCTTGTTTCACCATGTAAAGCTTTGTCAAGTGGATGTGACAGTTAAAAACAGAATAGGGGAGTTAATAGATGGGGAGATGGAGGTATTGGGAAGATGGTCGGAATATTTTGAGGAACCCGCACATAGAAACTTTGTAAATGGTCCAAGTCGGACCGAAACGTCGTGATAAGCCCTCTCTTATGTGTGGGTTAATTGTGTATTGTTCCAGTCACGGTACCATTAAATGATTATGAAGAGAGGGAGGCAGTAATTTCATGTACTGGCCAGGGAGGTATACAGTGGATCCCCGCATAACGATTACCTCCGAATGCGACCAATTATGTAAGTGTATTTATGTAAGTGCGTTTGTACGTGTATGTTTGGGGGTCTGAAATGGACTAATCTACTTCACAATATTCCTTATGGGAATAAATTCGGTCAGTACTGGCACCTGAACATACTTATGGAGTGAAAAAAAATCGTGAACCGGGGGTCCACTGTAATGTCTTTTACGAGTGATGTAGAGCCAGATGTGAGTTGGGGGAGGTGCACGAAGCATTACGTAGAATGAGGGCGGTTAAAGCAGCTGAAACTGATGGAATCATGACAGAAATGTTATGAGCAGGTGGGGATATAGTTTTGGAGTGGTTGCTACTTTTGTTCAATAAATGTATGAAAGAGGGGAAGGTACCTAGGAACTGGCAGAGAGCATTCATAATTCCTGTATAAAGGAGAGGGGGACAAAAGAGTAAAACTCATAGGGAAATAAGCCCACCGATTATATCAGGTATAGTGTGTGGTAAGGTTATTATTGAAAGAATCAGAGGCAAGATGGAGAGCAGGATCGCAAATGAACAAGGTAAGGGATGTGTAGAGCAAGTGTTTATATTGAAGCATATAATAGAACAATATTTAGATAAAGGTAGGGAAGTTTTCATTGCATTTATGGATTTAGAAAAGGCATATGATTGGGTGGATAGGGTAGCAATGTGGTAGATGTTGCAAGTATATGGAATAGGTAGTAGGTTACTGAAAGCAGTGAAGAGTTTTTATGAGGATAGTGAGGCTCAGGTTAGGGTGTATAGGAGAGAGGGAGACTTCTTCTCAGTAAAAGTAGGCCTTAGACAGGGATGCGTAACGAGACAAAGAACATTATCCATGGAAGTAAAGAGGGGAATGCATGAGAATATGGTTAAACCAATGCTCTTGCATGGGTGTTGAATGCTGCAACAAGAAGGCTGGAGGCAGTGGTGATGTCAAGTCCGAGGGCAATGTGCAGTATGAATATAATGCAGAAAATCTGCAGTTTGGAAATTAGGAGAGGTGCAGGGCTACTAAAAGTAATATCCAGAGAGCTGAGGAGGGGTTGCTGAGGCGATTCGGATATTTAGAGAGGATGGAACAATATAGAACGACTTGGAGAGCATACAAATTTGTAGTGGAAGGAAGGCGGAGGAGGCGTCAGCCTAGAAAAGGTTGGAGGGAGGGAATAAAGGAGGCTTTGTGTGTGTGGGACTTGGACTTCCAGCAAGTGTGTGTGTGCGTGTGTGTGTGTGTGTGTTTTAGATAGGAGCGAGTGGAGACGAGTGGTTTTTATGATTTGACGTGCTGTTGAAGTGTCAGCAAAGTAACATTTATGAAAGGATTCAGGGAAACCGGCAGGCTGGACTTGAGTCCTGGAGATGGGAAGTACAGTGACTGCACTCTGAAGGAGGGAAGCTGATGCTGCAGTCTTTTAACTGTATTGGAGGCACGCCTCTGGCAAGACAGTGATGGAGTGAATGATGATAAAGTTGTTTCTTTTTTTTGGGGGGTCACCCTTCGTCAGCGAGAGACGACCAATGTATTAAAAAATAAGACTTACCATAAGGTTGTCTTCCAGCCATTGGGTTCGGTTGAGAGCTGTCAGTGTTTCGAGAAGAGAGAGAAGGAAATTCTGATAGATCTAGCGGAGGAGGGGCAGAGTCCCCTCCAAAATTGCTATGGAGACCCATCATGCTATTGCCGCCTCCGCTGCCGTACGGTCTACCAACGAAGCCACTTAAGCTTCTGTTCCTGAAATGGAATAAAGAAACTGTTGAGTATGTCACAATACTAAGACAGAAACAATTCACAACTAACCCACAATACCATGACTAACAATTCACTCCTAACTCACAACACCATGACAGCAACAATTCACAACTAACCCACAATACCACAACTAACAATTCACACCTAACCCACAACACCATGACAGCAACAATTCACAACTAACCCACAATATGTACCGGGCCGCAGGGACGTTGACCCCCGGAACTCTATTCTACTGTATTCACCTCTATTAATAATAATTTTCCTCAGAGATTTGTTAAGTTATACCATGAATTAAGGAAAGATCCTGGACTTTACCTTATGAAAGTAGACAAAGCAAATGCAATAGTAATTATGGACAAGGTAGATTATAGTGGAAAAATGAACACGTTATCAGAAAACGGGGGAACTTACATGCCTCTTAAGCCTAACTTTAGACTACAATGGTAATAAACATGGCTACCACGTGTCTTCACCTCCTGCTGACAGCACCATGGGCATACTTAATAATTTCAGTCTGTCAACATAACTCATGTTTTTAAACTCTGGTAACCATTTGTAGCATTTCTATGGATCCTTTCTAACTAATCCAAATGTTTGTTTTAACTGATAAAATGATATAGTCTGGGAGGTGTGAGATAATAATACCAGATTTTTTTTTTTTGTTGACATGTTGGCAGTTTCCCACCGAGGCAGACGGACCCCGAAAAAAAAAAAAAAAAGAAAACACTTTTACCATCATTCACACATAATCACTGTCTTTGCAGAGGTGCTTAGATACGACAGTTTAAATGTCACTCCAAAATAGCCAATATCTCAAACCCTTCCTTTAACCCGTAAACGGTCCAGGCAGATCTACGTTCACATGCGTAGTGCTACAAAAGTAGATCTACGTTTTTTTACACATTTTCAAATATAACAAAAAAAAAAGTAGATCAAAGTTTTTTTTTACACATTTTCAAATGTAAAAAAACAAAAAGATCTACTTTTTTTTCATACTTTCAAATGTTGAAAAAACGTATATATACGTTTGGACCGTTTACGGGTTAAAGATATGGAGTTTAATATACATAAGGTATAAGAACAGAATAAAAAGCGAAAAAGCCATGGGAATATAGCAATTACAAGGGCTGGTTAACAAAGGACACTCTGGTCTCGATTTGCATTTCTTGAACTATAGAATCAGCACGCCTCTGGCAAGACAGTGATGGAATGAGTGATGATGAAAGTGTTTCTTCTTTCTTGGGTCACCATGCCTTGGTGGGAAATGGCTGATGTATTATAAAATTAGACGAGACAATAAGAAACGTTTCCTGAACAATAAAAGTTACAATACCAGGGCTGGAACAATTCACAAATAACCACATTTAGAAGAGGACCCTTATGACAACAGTTTCATTTGTCCCAGAACAATGGGTTATTGGTGAATTTTTGAAAAAAGCTTTTCAGTTCTCACCCGAGGCCTTGCATATGCCGCAGCATCTCGCTGACAGCCCGTTGTTGCGTGGCAGCAGTCGCTTGAATACTGTTCGCCATGAATAGTGAGTTGGTGTTGTGCGATGCTGCCACTGCCGAGGACAGTGCTGCCAGACTGGGACCCCCAGAGCCACCTCCGCCACTGCTCACCAGGTTACCTACGCTCGGACCACTCACGATGCCACGGCTCTCAATGCTTCTCGCAACAGTACCGCCTAAACTCCCCATAATACCTGAAAGGGAAATAGCCTCTTTATTATCAGTGCAAATGTGTATAACTAACTTCTTGTACCATACTTTCGGTCATAGAGATGGAGCTATGACTGTGGTGTCACATCATTAACCCTTAAACCGTCCAAATGTAGATCTACGTTTGTACTGCTAGCGCTTCAAACGTAGATCTACGTTTTATTTTACATGCTTTAAAATGCAAAATAAAACGTAATCTATGCTCGGAGCACTACGAGAGTAAACGTAGATCTACGCTTGGACAGTTGAAGGGTTAAACACAATTTTAAAAACATACATGCACTCACTGATGTCTGAGTCACTAAATCAACTATGCTGATTAAGAATATAAATTTTTTTTGTGCATAGCATTTGCTTATAAATAATAATTTTATTGAATAAATTAAAGGAATTATTCCATTTCATTTGCACAAAACTTTCATATATAACCAATAAGAAAAAACAAACGGATCCTAAGTACAATACAGTATAATAAAGTCACACGTAAGTAGAAAAAGTCATAGTATTAGTAATCACCATAAATATTTTAAAAATGCTTAGCCTATCACCTGTAGGTCTTGGCTGACTGGTCTCTTTGCAACATCCAGCAGAAATCAGTGCAACATCCAGCAGAAATCAGTAAGCATTGTGGGACTCCATTTACCTTTGTAGTAAGTTTCCAATGCTGCAACATCATGGAATCTCTCTCCATGCTCGTCACTCACATCAGACAGGTTGTCAAGACAATAAGACAGATGTGAGTGGAGGAAATGCAGTTTGACTGACATGCTGGAGCCCAGTCATTGGTGACTTTACAGCAGTAGATCTGTCAGTGCCTTGCAGTTGACGTCTCTGTGTTGGCCAAGTACTTCGTTGCAGATGCTCTTTGCCAAACTGTTAACTTCACGTCATTCATTGCCATCTGAAAATCATTGTCAGCCATGAGCTGGCGAATTTGTGGACCTGCAAATACACCTTCCTTACTCTTGGTCTTACTTAGTTTGTGGAACTTTCCTAACAGGTATCTGAATGCTGGATGATCCTCGTCAACCGTCTTGACCAGTTCTTTGACGAGATTGAGTTTTACGTGCAGCGATGGCAACACAATCTCGTCCACTGACTGTGTCTGGAATGACCGAATCACGTAGTGGCCAAAGGTTATGCTGCACTAGGTTGAAATTTAAATTTTATACTCTGCCTTGATTTCAAAAGGTGGGGACAAAGGAAAAATGTACGGCCAAAACTACGTATTCTTAAACCGTGCATATGAAAGGCCTGGTATATGAACTATACATTTAGTAAAAATATTAAAACACGAGATACACACCATGCTCATGGTATCACATGATAAACTATCAACATTTTTCCCCCATGGATACAGTTATGTACTGAATATTCTTGAAGCCCATGCCAGCTGTCTATTGCTGTTTCTGAAGAGATACTTCCTACTATGTGTACCGACTCACTCTTTTTATAGAACATGTGTCCCTATGTTGGTTCCTCCCACCCCCCAAAAAAAATAAATCTTACCATTTTTATTTTACTGTATCACGTTGTAAGTGATATCTCCATCCATCTTCATTTATGGAATCCACGGTCTTGTATTTCAGATTTCTCAAGCAGGATTGATCATGACAGCTGAGATGTGATTTACCTGTGGCTGGTTTTGAGGGTATATCTAATCTTGGAGCCCAGTTTGGGGCCAGGCTTCTCTGACTGGCTGTTCAACCATGATTTTCGCAGGTGGCAGTTTTCTGATCCATACAACCGCTGTACAGAGGAAGTGGTTCAATTAAAGACTTACACTTGTTCCAGCAAGATTTCTAAAATCTGATGGTAGCAGATTAAATAGTTCTGGGCCACGGCAACCCTGCATTTCATTGGGCCCATTTTACACTTCCTCCCATATCACTCCAGGAACACTGGGTCACTATTTGGAAAAGACCCGGGCTGAGACAAGACCGGCGAACCTACCACAGTAATACTCCAGGAACATAAATGAAACATAAATGATTCACACAGTGAAGAATAAAATTTAAGAAGACTTTTTGGCCCAATTTGGACCATTAAATGGTGTATATTATCAGGTAGGGTAGATCTCGTCTTCACTCCAGAAAATACGTAGTAACTTCGAGGCATTTCCAGTAACTTCAATGTTTTATTGACGTTATGCAGGCAGTAAAGAATCTGTACATATTCCAGCTCTGATATCTCTCCCGCTTGGAATGGCACTGTTAGCAGCAAACAATATTTTAGACAAGAGAGCAAAAGTGATCAGAATATGTCACCACTTGCATTATTGCTCAATTTGTAAGTTATCATTATCCACATCATTTTCTGGCATTTGCTTTACTGTGTTCTCTAAATGACACATCCTCCATTATTGTTATACCCAAGTTTGTTTTATGACAGGTTCCTTCTGTATTCTGTGCTTATTTTGGATCTTCATTTTTTCCATTTCCATTATTTCCATTACCCACTGGAAGGTTAATAGTGTATCTCCTTATTTTTCTGTCTCCATTTCCATTATTTCCATTACCCACTGGAAGGTTAATAGTGTATCTCCTTATTTTTCTGTCTCCATTTCCATTATTTCCATTACCCACTGGAAGGTTAATAGTGTATCTCCTTATTTTTCTGTCTCCATTTCCATTATTTCCATTACCCACTGGAAGGTTAATAGTATCTCCTTATTTTTCTGTCGTCTACCGAGGCAACTTTCATGCACCACTCATAAAGGATGAAATGAAGCTATGGCTAGTGTTTTTATCTATATCTACTATGAGGATGAGAAACAGTTAAGGTGCCAGGACTGTGCCCTGTGGTGCTGTGCTTTTTACTTTGCTATATTTTGCTTTATCACTAATCTTTGAGGTCCATTTGTTAAAATTTAATACTGATTTTCCTACTTTTCCAGTTATACCTATTGACATTACTTTGTGGATTATCATCCCATGATCGCATACATCGAACGCCTTAGAAAAGTCAGTGTAGATCACATATATTTTGGTTTTCTTTGAAAGCCTCTGTAATGTTATGATGATCCGATAGTTGTGACAGGCACAGTCTTCCCGCTAAACCCATACCCGGAGGGGGTTTTGGAGGTCAATATCCCCATGGCCCGGTCTGAGACCAGGCCTTGTGGTGGATCAGGGTCTGATCAACCAGTCTGTTACTACTGGTCGCATGCACAGTGACCCGAGTTGCATATTTTTTTTTATTAACACATCAGCCATTTTGCACCGAGGCACGGTGACCCAAAAAAAAGAAAAATTTTCATCATTCATTCAATAAAATTAGTAATTAGTCTTCTCCTCATTCTTTCACAGACTTAAATGATGTGTTGTTGGTGCGTTTGGTCTATAATTCATAGCAGTACTCTACTGCCTCCTCTGTACAGAGGAATGGTCTCCACCTTTAAGGCCTGTGGGATTTAGCCTAGATCCAAGTTTTTTAAAAGAATAAATACAGCCTCTCCTTACTTAGCAACGTACTCGTTTACCGACAATTCGAACTTACGACGGGCTCTCTGACCAGTATGCATACCAAAATAATGTATATTGGAGCCGATTTTCTTCATTCTGTTTATTACAATATACAGTACACTACTGTATAAACATATAAAAATATACCAGAAATGTTATAAATGGTTCAAAGGTAACATTAAAATAATGTAAAAGATGGTTGACACAAACTCACTACCATTATAGTATACTCCTCACTTAGTGACAAATTCGTTTACTGACGAGGTCGTAGGAACGAAACTCTGTTGTTAAGTGAGGAGAGGCTGTACCGAGTGCTCGTGCTAGTGGCATTCAGTGCTTCTTTATACAAAGCTCCAGGAATCAGGCCCAGGAGCTGCATGTGTGGGCAACTTGGCATGTAGTCAGAGATAGGCGATCCTTAGCTTACAATGGGGTAATGTTACAATGAATCCATTGTAAAGTCAAATATGAATACAGTGGACCCCCGCATAACGATTACCTCTGAATGTGACCAATTATGTAAGTGTATTTATGTAAGTGCGTTTGTACGTGTATGTTTGGGGGTCTGAAATGGACTAATCTACTTCACAATATTTCTTATGGGAACAAATTCGGTCAGTACTGGCACCTGAACGTACTTCTGGAGTGAAAAAATATCGTTAACCGGGGGTCCGATGTATATGACATATCGGTAAATAACTAGTGTCTCTGAATAGGTAAATAAGTAACTACCATAACTAACTAATAGTATTTTCAAGTAAATGATTGAATACAAGCTTATCCTATCAATAAATGTACATTACTGTACGATGGTGATATTTCGACTGTACGATGGTGAAAGTCAAAATATTGTAAGTTGAACCATCGTAAAGCAAGGAGCATCTACTTTACCACACCCCTTAGTATAGAGGAGCTTTATAAGAGAGGTGACTGTATTACACCGAAGCAGTGATTATATCACATTGACTAGAGACAAACGGGTAGAAAGTAAAAACTTGCCTAAGGTTTCTCCTGCCCCAGGCCTCACACCAGGAGCCCTTTGGTTGCGCGCTGAACGAGATACCACTGTGCTGCGAGACTGGAACGAGGCCTGCAATTGACCTGAAAATTAACTCCGGCATAATACAAATACATATACAGCGCGTATTTTTGATGTTCCATGTTTCTGTTCATTATGCTCCACTAGCTGTTGATTGTCATGGGGGGGATGGGGGGATGCCTTAATTGAAAGCCAACAAAAATGTGGAACATCGAAAATGTGTGCTTTATATGCAGGGATATTCTACACAGCAAGTCCTTGACTTATGAACACATTGAGGTCCTTCCATACTGTGTATAATAATATAATGATATTATAGACAACAATACAGTAATATTATATACAAAATACAGAAGACTCTCGACATGTTCGTAACTCGCGGACTTACCGCACAAAACACAATGTTTTTACAGAAATAAGTGAGACCTCTTGAAAGCCCATGATTATGCAGAGCATTTAGGGCAAGATTAAGCTTATGCCTACAAGGGCATAGCATTGTACATGAATGTACAATTGGGGTTATATTTTAGAAGATCTCAGAGTAAGTAAGTTTATTCAGGTATACACAAATACAGTTACACAGATTGTCATACATACAGATTGTCATACATATGTGTAGAGAACCTGGGATAACCCAAAGAAGTCAGACAGAGTGACTTATTTCCATTGTGGTCCTTTTCCCTTATTATAATATAAAGGTTATAATATTTTCTTATTATTCTATAATGAAGATAACATCTTATTATCATACTAAAAAGACTATCTACTACACGAGGGTCATTAAGACTATCTACTACACGAGGGTCATTAAGACTATCTACTACACGAGGGTCATTAAGACTATCTACTACATGAGGGTCATTAAGACTATCTACTACATGAGGGTCATTAAGACTATCTACAATACGAGGGTCATTAACCCTTTGAGGGTCCGTCCCGTAGATCTATGGCTTTACGTTCAGGGTCCAAACCGTAGATCTACGTCATGAGCTCAGCTCACTCTGATAAACTGTGACTGGTACATTTGGGCCTAGATATGAGAGAATACATCTATGTGGTATGTGTGCACCACATAAAACAGATCCTGCAGCACACTGTGTATAATGAGAGAAAAAACTGAAATCATGATTTTTCGATTAAAACAGTGACTTTGCAGTGTTTTATCGTATGTTTTTATAGTTCTATTTGTGATTTCTTGGTCTCATTTGATAGAATGGAAGACATATTACAGAAATAGAGATGATTTTGATTGGTTTTAGCAATGGAAATGGCTTGAAACTGAGCTCCAAGTAGCAGAAATGTTAAATTTTTGCCGATATTCAAGAGTAAACAAACGGCCTCACATGTCTAATACGCGCCAGCATTCACAAATATGGTGATGATATTTATACAATTAT